ATAAGAGGCACTTCTACCCCTACCATGACTTGCTCTATATTCAAAACAGACACAAATAAGATATGAGAATTAAATCTTACAGACCCAAGAATCTGAGAAAGCCAAATGACCTTGGCAAACCCAAGTGCCCACAAAAACTAAAGCAATTACTGTTCTCCTGAAACAGAATGCCATTTTGACATTAACTCTCAATTCACTAAATGTCAGAATTCAGCCCAGCATCCTAATCAGCAGCTGCTTAATAATTTTTGTATTTTTAATGTAGATTCTTCAGGAAGCATAGGAGTTGGAAAACAAAGTTGAAACAAGACATATTTGCAATTCTCTAATTTCGAAGTTCTCAGGATGAAGCACAACTCACCATTCAGCTGGCACATTCAGAGACATACAGGCAGCAAATGAACAGGAACTTTCCCTTCTGGTCTCTTAGAGCCACACAAGCAGAGTGAAAGGAGATGGAATATGCTGCAGTCCAAAAGAGCTATAAGCTCTTTGTAAGAAATAACATAAGATCCACAATCAGCAATTTTTTCCCAAGTTTGCCCAGAAAGTAACACTCATACAGATTCCACAGCTAACACACATTCATGCTTGATGCACTGGCCCAATTTAGCCACAAGGATCAGTAAGTTTGAAAAGTAGTAAACAAACTTTTTCATTTTTTTGGGCTAGGACAAAAATACCCGCTCCAATTTATGGGGGTTTTTAAAGCAGAAAATGCATTCAATTGCCATGACAAAGTGGTGCATAACTATATACTGAACAACCAAAAAGCATTAACAAAGGATATTCACTTAAGGGTAGCAACACAAAGCTGCTTCTGAAGATATCACTTTATTCTTTGAAGAATGGTATTTGCAAATACAGACTTGGAAGCCCTGCATATTTTTTTCCAAGCATTTCAAGAGCAATGTCCCCAGCCACTGTGTACCTCTGACAGTCATTAAAGAAAACAAAACCTTTTATTATTTACCAAGTAATTTTTCAGCTGCATATAGGCATCAATATACTTCAAATGTATAGCAAAAGCTGTAGTTTAAACACTATATGTGAATCCACTAGCTAATAAACATTCTGTTGCCCATAGGGGATTAATTTATTTCCTGTGTTACTAAACTGTCAGAACAAATGTATAAAATCTGTAAAGTACTGGCTAGACCTGTATAGACTAAGATTTTTTTTTTTTAAGCTGCAAATGGTAAACATTTCCAGCATTAACATTTTAGAAGGCTCCACACATCGAGACGCACCCCAGCACATGCAGAGTGCTAAAAGGGACAGAAAAACTCATCAAGCAGATATTCAAGGGCATGTCAACACCAGAGTTACTCAACCAGGCCACTGTATTGGGAAAAGCAAGGCTTCACAGCTGGGACAAGATGGGCTGTGCAGGTGTCAGCAAAGGAAAGCACAAGTGAAGTGGAATGAAAACTGCCATGTAGATGGCAGAACCATTTTGCTCCACGGAACAAAACCTTAGTTCAGTTTGAAGAGCTCTAATCAGTAACCTCTAAATTGAATAATTTCTCAACAGGAGAACAGATGTTATTATCAATCATGTATTTCAAAGCAGTTTCTGCTGGAAAAAAGATATTGGAATATGAGTCACCAGTATGATTTTTGGAGGCTTTAACTCAGGAGATCAATTTAGTTAAAGGCCACAAGTTAGTGCCTGGATTATAACATAAATGTAATCTTTTCCCAGGGCTCTATTAAACTCCTCATATGGGGATGTGACTGGGGATTCACAACACTACCAAGACAAATTCCTAATGGTGCACATACAAAACCAGACAATTAAAAAATATTTATATTTAATAAACATCAGTCTTATTTCCACACCATTTCATATTTTTTTCATCAGTAAAGAATACGTGAGATGAGCTGGGGAGCATGGCAGATCTAAAACAGTAAGTGACAAGATATTTTTACTGCTATGTGAGTAGGGCACAGGCAAATAAGTCATTAATTGAACTGAAACAGTCATATTCATACACACACACACATATATATGAAAAATGTAAACAAGTAATGTTTACAGAACTGGAAACTTCCATGGTAAGATACAACTTTGAAAAAGACCCCAGCTGAATGCAGACTCGAAGGGCAAAAGTACTATCAGTGCACTATACTTAGTCTATAAATGTCAAAATATACTTGGAAACAGACTTTGAGGCAAATTAGATGACTTGTAAATAAGAACAGAAAATACAAGAAGAAAATACAGGAAATTTCCACAATTAACATAAGAAACAAAGATCTTGAAGATAAAAAAGCCATAAGATGAATCTGAAGCTAGGGCGACTAGGAAGCACAAATTCTATAAGTTGCTTGTTTAACTTCTCTTGTTTAACAGGGAAGTTAAACAAGCAACTTATAGAATTTGCCAAGAGGTAAGTTGAAATCTTTACCATTGGAACAACCTAACACACAGTGGGCAATTCTAAAACTACCCCTTAATTCAAAACAGTTAACAATGCAAGCAGCTCAAGACAGACAGGTTGATCACTATGATTCCTTCTGGCCTTACTGGAAGAGAATTTATTTTCTTAAACTGTCTTAGTAGTAGATGATAAGAAACATTCTGCTTTTAATAAAGCTATGTTCAGGACACTAAAATGAAAGGTGATTTCTCAGTCCACTTAAAATACAAATAATCTCTCCCAGATGATGACATACCGTCACTTTTACATACAGGACAACGCACTGCAACTCTTCATTTTTTGACATCAATTAACTCTATAAAAGCTTTCTCTACTCTGTCTGTAACAGGATTCTTTATTCTCTCAGCACATCAGCATCAGTTTTAGTTTTTACACGATAACGAGCCGCAGCCCCAGCGTCGCTCATTAGGGCCAATTAAGGGCGCCGGCTGGGATCGCCCCGCTGCCTCGGGCCGGTGCTGCCACCTGCTGGTGAGCGGCGGCAGCGCGGATGCCGCGCCGGGAGGAAGGGAGGGCTGGGATGAGATTTTGGGTGTACGACACAATAAACACGGAATGCTGGCCTCGGGATTGAGATGTTTGGCATCTAATTATATTGGCATAGCGCATTAGGAGTTGATCTGGTGAAAAAATAGCTGCTCTGTGAGCGCCAGATTCATCAGGTACTACTCAGCCAGAGGGTGTTAAAACTTATGGTTGAGGACTTTAAATCATCAGTGTTAACAACTGTAACATCCAATTTATAGAAGTGATGCCAAGGGCCTATCAAAATATTAAACACTTGGCAAATTATTCAAACAGACATTCAGAAAAGCCAAAAAAAAAAAAAAGTTTCTACTATGCTGCTTACTGTGAAGAGATTGTTGCTGTGTTGATTAGAGGGTAATTTAAAAATATTTTGCCAGTAGGCGGTACAATAAAAGAACAAAAATAAAATTCCCCCAAGTATGTCTCAACTGCAAAAATATCAAACCCCTCCATCTTTGCTCTGTCTGCATTCACCAGTGAAACACCTTCTGTAATAGAATTACCCCTTCCACAAATGAGAGACCTCAGCAGCCCAGGCCACTGAAAAGTAAAATCAGTTTTGAGACCATCAAATTTAGGCTCTTTCACCAAATGCACTGTATGTCAATACTAAAAACTCATACATTCAAAGTACAAAACAGAGACAGCTGATACAGCAGAAAAACACAAATATAAAGGATGATTAAAAGCTAGAGTAAGAGTGACTGAAGAGGTTGCACAAGGTCTATTCCATTCCTAGACAATAAACTCTGCTAGTTTATAGATCTCAGCAATAGAAGCCAAAACACCAGCTAATAGTTTTTACAGTATGTACCATCAGCCAAGGTCAACATCATTTGGTCTCAGCAAATATATGGGAAAACACAAGTGTCAGTCTTGGTCATGTCTCTAAAAAAACATCCTGAGACAAAGCAGTTAATCAGCTTGGGGGAAAATGCAAGCACCAATGGATACAAAACCTTACAACTTTATACAACGTTCTAGGGAAGTGATAGAAGAATACAAAAGTGATGAGATGAAACAATTCTAGGATGAAGGCCACAAAATCAAGCTTACTGCTTGATCAGGAGAAGATGGCCACTTATACAGGATGATTGTGAAGCACCAAGTAATTTATCAAGCTCAGGAGTCCAGAGCAGGTGGGGTTAAAGAGGTTTCTGGTTATATGTAGGCTATGAGAAAATGAAAAAGAGGTATACTGAAACTCAGTCATAATGTAAATTACACAATTAACAAAAACCAAAACTGAGTAAATACTTGGGGTTTATATTTTGAGCTAGGATTAACAATCATCTTTTATTCTGAAGGAGGGAGGTGAATTTTTTTCTGAAACAGTCAAGCTCACACACTCACAAGTCAAGAAAAGATTTGCTTCCTTGGGTAAAGTATTTCCAAGTTACACCTGCATTTTCCATGTATCAGAGCTCCAAAACCAGCAAGTGAACACAGAACCAGAACACAGATTCTCAGGACTAGATTTATCCACGTTCAATAGTAGTCAGTATAAAAACATTAAGCCTAAATTGGTAACTAAAAAAGTTACATCAGAATCACTGTTTTGACAGAACATGACAATCAGTGCCTGTGCTTTTATTTCTTATTTTATGTAAAAATTAGAGGCTTTTAAGAGTAAAAATTAATCCCTTTGTATGCACTGGTTTCAAAGGAGTAACCTTTACTTCACAGTCAGTATCAAGACAAGCAGAGGCAATCTGCCAGGTCCACTGCAATAACCCCAAACTGCAAGCATAACCAATGCCAAAAAGAACCTCATACCCTAAATCACCTTTAATTGTAACAATTTTTATCAAGACTTACCATATGAGCAAGAGCACACCAAGAGCCCTGGCTGCTGTTTTGGAAATTATGTACTGCTACATTTGAAGGAGGACAACTGGGGGTTTCTGTGAAAATCAGTCTCACAAAACAGGAATGAACTCAGCACCTCAAAAAGCACACAGGAACAGTTCTGGGCAGATTTGCAACTTTTCAAACTTGAAGAAAACCTGTGAAGGAGCTGTCACTTACTCAGTGTGGCCCTGAAAGACATTCACAGAATGGATAGAAGGATCTCTGAAATCCCACAGGCGGAAGGTGGTGTCGCGGGACGATGTCACCACGAGGCGCTGCGTGGGATGCGTACAGCAATGCGTGAGCTCCTGGTCGTGCCCTACGGCCACACATCACAACGTGTCAGGGCATGAAAATAACAGCTTTCATTTCCACATACACTTGGAATGACATGCTGATGATTTTTTCCTCTTTTTCCCAAACAGAAAGGAGTAATGGTCATTCTGAAATTTAATCTTGTTATGTAGGGGGATATAATATAAGTAAATAAGGGTTGTATATAAAGTAATCTTAACCCCTAAAGAGTTGCAGCTGGGTTAATTATTAAGGCTTAGAAGCAGGCCTGATGTGAACAGGCCACAGCTGTAGCCAGTAAGAGGAATGTTATAAAAGAGGATTGGTTGGTTGAAGGGAACTGGAGTCAATTGGCTACTGCAAGGACAAGGAAAAGTCAGTGCCTGGAGGAGCTGCCTACAAGAAACATCAAGGAGGTATGAAACTCTGGCAATATAGAACCCTTGCAATGAAATGACAATAGAATCATTGTAATGAATGACAACAAATTTGACCCCCGGTTTGATTCGGGAGAAAAAGGACTTAAATACTAAATTATAACGACAACACTGTTACTGCTGTAAAAGTTTGGGAATTTTGAAGGCAAAAACCACACTACTTATTTCCCATTCAGTAGTGTAGGTTATTGCTGCTTAACACACTATCAACACAGCAGAAGCCTTTTGCAAGACCTAAAATTTGGGTACATTAAAATTAAACAACTACTTTTTTCACAGGTTAAATCATAAGCTTAAAAGAAGACAAATTCACGCTCAGAGGATTTGCAATTTCAATTACAAATTTGCTATTTCAAAAACTACTACAACACTGAGCAGCAGATTGTACACACATCCTGCTCCAGAGAAACAACTTTCTTTTCTCAATGTTTTAGTATCTACAAATAATCCCTCATATAAAAACAAACCACCAATTTAACTTTTTTTGCAAGTGAACAAATACCTGTAAGAGAATGGACTAGTTCAGAAGTCTCTACATCATACAGGTTTGCTGTCCTGTCCCACGATGCTGTCACAGCTTGCTTCCCCCCAACAAGCCAGTCAGCTGCTATGACCACTCCTTGGTGGCTTTTCAGTGAGGTTAATGGGGCTCTGACAGTGGGGCAATCACTGGAACCATCTCCATCTCCATCAGGTTCATCTTTATCTGAGATTTCAACTTCATCTTCTCCAGACACTTGCTGTAAAATGCAAGGGAAAAAAAAGATATAGAATAAAAGGGAAGGAATGTCTCTAAGTTACATTTTGCAGTGTAAATGCTTCCCAATCCCCTTAATGTGAATGTGGGTAAATTAATTCTGCTGCACCCAGCCTATTCCAGTACTCACTATCACAAACTTAGTTGAAGGAATATAACCAGTAAGTTAAATGCAGTTTTAATAGCTCCTTTTAACAACTTGCTGATGTGCAGCTGAGGGAACTGGACTTGTTCAGCCTGGAGAAAAGGAGGCTCAGGGGGGGACCTCATTGCCCTCTACAACTCCCTGAAAGGACAGTGCAGCCAGGGAGTGTCAGTCTCTTCTCCCAAGGAACAAGAGACAGGACAAGAGGAAGTGTCCTCAAGTTACACCAGGGCATGTTTAGACTGGATATTAGGAAAAATTTCTTTACCAAAAAGGTTATCAAGCCAGGGAAGTGGTGAAATCAACATCCCTGGAGGTATTTAAAAGATGTGTAGATGTCACCCTTAAGCACATGGTGTAGTGGAGGGTTGTGACAGTGCTGGATTAACAGCTGGACTTGATGATCTTAAGAGATTTTTTCCAATCTAAATAATTCTATGTATCTACTTTATTTTAAAATCTCCACCAAACTCTTTAGCTCTGAGTATCAGTCCCCTTTACTATCTGGTAAGTGTATTATCCTAGAGTTTCATTGCATCACAATATCAAGGGACTTTTCTCCTTTCCATTTTTAGAGCTAGGAAGCATCTAACAAGACACTGACTATGTTAATCTTTGGGAAGACAATAATTTACAGACATATTTTTATCCATTAAAAATCAAATCATTACAGCAATACTTGTCTGTTGGTCAATACACAGTCATCATGCAGTGCTGATGTAAAAACAAATTCTTTTGTTCATCACTAAACATCAATCTCTGAACTCCTTTTACACAAGACAGAAACATCTTTCTTTTATGTTACTTGGTGGTGGAAAAGATAACATTTGTATTTTCTTTCAAAATGGAAATGCCAAATCAAATAAACTGAATCAAATATTTTCCATTCAGATATCTGTCTCCTTTTACACAGTCAATTCTTGCCCCTACTTAGCCTACTGAGAAGCTCATGCTATAAACTATGTTTTCTTCACAATTTAGTAAGGGTGCTTTTAAGTAAAATTAGCATTTAACAGGTTTATACTTTAAATTAAATACTGACTAAAGAAAGGCCTAGGGACAACAAAATCAGACAGTGTGATATGTGCTGGCAAGGACTGATTAGAAATCAATGAAGACTCAAATAAATGCCAAAATTACAAGTCTTTACCATCAGTTTTCAATCCACAGCAACTATAGCTAATACAGGTTTCTCAGTAAGTTGTGCTACAAAAATTTAACCAGTTTAAAAAGAACTTCATTATTACAAAAAAGAAGTTGTTTGACTGCTCATTTACACATGTACTACCTTGAACAAAAAGTCAATTCGTCTACTTGAAGCTGTAAATTCTATTCTGCACCAAATGCTTTTGAAATCATGAGGGAGTCTACTTTCAAAGAAAAGCTGAAATGCAGCTGATAAACTAAAACCTTAAAATCCCACCTTTGGCAGTCCTGAAATCATGTAATATTTAATTATGTGTAAATTTAACATTCAGTCTTATCATAAAACCTGTATCTGATGAAATTGCTGTGCAATTAGTACAGTTTGCAGCAAGCTGATTGCTTACATTGGAGTCTGCAGTTGGCTGAGGTGTAGGCAACTGTATTATGTATCTCCAGATGTGAGCTGTCTGGTCTCCAGATGCTGCACAGAGGAAGAGAAGCAAAAAAAAAAAGAGAGAGAGAATAAGTAAGAATATTTCCATGGGCAATAAAAATATTACATTTTAATATTTTAATATTAAACTTTAATATTACATTTAGCAATACTTTCTAAGTTGCATCTTTTCGTAACAGAAACCAGTATGAACTTTATGGTAAACAAGTCTCAACATCTCAAACATAAGTCATTATGCAAGATATAAGCAGCTTCCAAATTAATCACTCCTACAGTGAAACATGCACTTGAATACTGCACATCAGAACGTGAGTCTCACCCCTGCTCAGTATGTAGCATTTGAAGAAGGCATTTAATACATCACCAGATATTCATTTACTATTGCTCAAAATCCTAGGGTTCTTTATTCAATGATTTCTGCCATTAAATGTTTTTTCATCATGGTTTTAACAAGAAATCCAAAATAGCAAGTGTGAAGCTATTCCTCTTCTGCCTTAAACAACTCAGCTTAACTAGTGGCAGTTTACAGCTCAGAAGGCACCATGTGATTTTAACTCCATCTGTTTTAATATAGACTTATTCATTATTAACTAAGGACAAACTCAAGATTGTCCTTGCTGTGGTCAGAACAAACATGTTCTAATCCTGCAGGATTAGAACTGCTCTCCAGCCACTCCTCTCCCAACTTATACTTGTGCTCAGCATTACTCTGTTTTAGCTGCAGCATCTGGCATTGGAACTTGTTAAATTTCATCCCATTAGTGGGATAGCACCCAGTGCTCTCATTTATTTGGATCCCTCTGAAAGGCCTCCTGTCCCTCACAAGAATCAGCAGCACCTCCCAGTTTGGTATCACCAGCAAACTTGCTAATGCTGCATTTAACTCCTGCATCGAGGTCATAAATCTATTGATCAATCTATAGAACAGGACTGGCCCTAGAATTGATTCCTGAGGAACACCACTGGTGATCCTTTGCCAGGCAGACAGCCCCTTTTACTGCAACCCTTTGAGCTCTGCCCTTCAGCCAGCTGCCCACACAGCACACCATGAACCAGCTCATCCCACAGCTGGACAACTTGTCCAGAACAAGACTGAAGGACAGCACCAAAACCCTTACTAAAATCTAGACAAACTTAATCCACCACATCTTCATCCACTGGGCAGGTGACCTTATCCTAGAAAGATGTCAAATTAATTAAACAGCACCTTCCCTTTGTGAACCCATGTTGACAGTGCCTGATGACTGCATTATTCTTTAAATGCCTCTCAGCAGTACCCAGTATAATCTCCATAATTTGTTCAGGAACTGAGATTGGATTAACAGCTCTGTAGTTCCACTGGTCTTTCCTCATACCCTTTTTGCAATATTGGAATAACACTAGTCAGAAGAGACCTCTCCAGACTCCCAAGAACTTTGGTAGGTAATCAGGAGGTATCCTGCCATAACACCCACTAGTTCTTTGAGTACTCTGGGATGAATTCCAGAACATTCACCTGATGTATGATTCTAAGTGTCTGGTTTGGAGCAGACAAGCACAAATGACAACATGACATGAAAAACACAGATGGCAAGATCTAGCTCTGATTTGTTATGCCTTCAAATTAAAAATAATTCAATCAACAAAGATGCTGACAAGCAATAGGGAGAGAGGCTACAACCAGAACAAACTAGCAAATTACACTTATTTTCCATCAAGATTAACATACTTAACATATGAAAAAGCTTTACATACCTGTAAGAGCCACTTGCTCAGTGGGATGAAACTTTATGGAGTTTACTGTATGAAACAAAATAAAAGTTTTAAGTTAGTATATTAAAAGAATTGATTCACAATATTTTATCATTAAAAGCATTGAAAAATCAAGTAGTCTTAAGTTTTCAGCAATTTTTGGTAGTCATCTTTAAGGTGATATGGAAGTGTAGTATCAAGGAAAACAGCTACAATTGAAACAATTGAAAGCAGCTACATACAACACATTTTGTAGCAAGTTATTTCCTGAATCTAGTACAAGAGGTTCATGTTAGAGAGGACAGACAAACCACATTCAAATCATATGTAAGCTGACAGGGGATAATGCTCTGGAATTCCATACAGAGAATTTAAGCATCCATAATTATTTCTAACTCAATGAAAACTTACTGTATGTTACCATTAACATCCTGCTTATTACTCAGCATTGCAAGAACAAATGCCTGAAAATCTGTTGCAAGTAACACAAATCAGATTTCAGTCCTGCAATCATATGTAATGGAAACAGGATGTCCTGCAAGAATGCCATCAACTAACAAAGCTCTTCAATTCATTTCATATGATTCATTCAAGACAAAACTTAGAACTCATTTCCATCCATTATACAAGTAAAATAGATGCATATGTTGTTGGGAGAACATGGTGTAATGAGTCTAAAAAAATACTCCTTAAACTGAACTAACTGAACTAACTTTATGGTGCATCAGCTGCTGGTGCACCACTTCAAATCAATTGTCAAACAAAAGAAGTTTTATTACATAAAAAATACATTATTTCTATTAAAATTTATAGATGTATATAGTAATATAAAATGTATATACAATACAATTTATCTTTCATTGTTGTTCAAACACAGTTGTTTAAACACAATTGTTTAAATACAGGTTAGAACTTGTTATTTTCATAGTTATCCAAATACCAATTTTAAAAGAAAACTACCAGCATGAAAGTTCAAGTGAGTGAAGTTTTCAAACATGACTTCATAGAACTTAGAGGTCCACGCAGCAAACAACCTGAGATATCTGAAAGCATTAACATGTTACCAGTTGTTTCTGTGCATTTATCTTTGTGCTGTAGGAGCTAGAAGGAATGTAGCAGGAAAAAACAGTACAACTCACAGCTGAAGCAGTTCTAAAGAATTTAATATTATTTGCACCCTTGCCACAAAGTTCACGTGATGTGCTGAGTTACCTAACCAAACAATCCTGGTCAATAACTGGGTTCCTCACTTTCCCAGGGTATGATCACTCAGAGCACACAGGTAACAACAGCAAGTTAAAGCTATGGAAAACCTCTCCAGTTTTGGCCTATAAAATCCTGTATTCTAACTCACTAAGAGGCAGAAGGGTGTTAATCAAGTTCCTGTCAAATTGGACACCAAAAATTAACACCAAAGACACTCACTGCACTGCACCTCCCCACCCAAAGAGGGGTTTAAAAAACAGTTTCCACAATATTCATACTGGTAAAAAGAAAGAAAAATACCTATATTTAATTAACTGTCTTAAAAACAAGATCTTTGCATTATGCAGCAGATTATATGAGATCTTAAACAAAGAAGTGCAAAAAGATATTCACCTAGCATCTGTAGTTCTAACTCAAACAGAGATCCTGCAAGACAGCTAATTTCTGATTATATAAGCTTCTTTTGTTCTCCACATGCACAAGACCACAATGAGTTATGACATTTCACTTCTGAGTGTCGTAACTGTGCCTGTAAATTTCTTTATATGGACTTGTTTATTCATTTAGCATTTACAGAACTGTCTTAATGTGCCTCTCCAATAAAGAACCATATTAGAAAACATTCTCTGTATGAAAATTAGAGGAACTTCGCAATTGACTTGTTAATGATGTTGGCAACCCTGCAAGTGAAACCACAATAAACATTTCTGTAGCTGCCCAAAACACATTTCCCCCTCCCATGCTCTGTTCCCAGTTTTCACAACATGCCCTTATCTTACCTGAGCCAACATGCCCTACATACTTGACAAGGCACTTCCCTGTTTCTATGCTCCACAGCAAAGCAGTGTGATCTACAAAGATTAAAAAGCAGCTGTAAATAGTTAAAAACATATGTTTTTCATTTTTACCCTTTCAACAAACAAGATATCTTCCACTGTAGCGCATGCCATATGAAATAGATTTTAAATGTAGAACTCTTGACTACCACCTTCTATACAAAACATTTTCTTATCATTGTACACAACTCCCCCAAAAAGTAAAGGTGCTGTCCTAATCAGATTAATTTGCAGCAAGGCAAATTGAAAGGCAAATTCTGTATAATGCTCCAGCTGTGTATCATGAGACTCAGGGGAAAAAAAGAGGAAGCACTCCATGGTGAAAAAGGCAGCCACTACAAACAGGAATTCTATGCACAATCTATTTACTTCCTGTATGGAAATCCCAAATGCACACAGGTCACTGCAGAGCCCTAAAAAAATTAATTTAAAAAGGAAATCAATCCAAATGCCACTCCTTTATCCTGCCACACCCAAAAATAAATAATTAATTTCAGTATTTAAGTGGGTAGTACCTTAAAGCTGAATTGGAGAATTTCCAGGAGGTTTCCAGGTTAAATCAGGACAAAGACAAGATGTCCCACACAAAGACAAAATGTGCCCCCTCAGCAGGCACATAAAAATTGTAACAGTTCAGTTCAAGAAGCAGAGATTTCTGGTCCATAAATATTAGTCTAGTAAGTACCTTCAAATTCTGTTCCAGCTTCAAAAGAATGTCACTTCAAATTGACTGATTCTATCTGCTTATGATTTATTTTCCTAATAATTTTCCAAAACTACACAAGTCTCTACATTGATTTTTAGACTATAATAGATTTAGTGACTTGTTCATTAGTACTTGTACCCCTTCAAGTGGAAGGAATAAATCTAATAAAGTAAATAGGACTGAAAATTAAGATTTTTAGCTGCCCCAGTGTCCTGAGGCAAAAGACAGAATGCAAGAATACAAGAATATGCAAACTATGACCACATGTACAGCTTCTATAAAATAAAAACTAAACAATGCTAGGAGAGAAAGCCTGCAGGGGTCTCTGTATCCAGCCATATGGAATTCTGGGCCAGAGGCCTCCCCAGGCAAACAGCTCCCCATCCCACCCACCCACCCCACCCAACATGCCAGAGCTGACTAAGGAGAGTGTGACCAGCATGGAAGGGAACTGGCACACACTTTAGGAAGACCAACAAGCATGCTTGAACCTTCTAAGGGAAAGGAAATTCCAATTTTAAGAATTTTTCAGCAACAGAACTTCTTTAAAAGGACTCTTTCAAGTGTGAAGCTCAATTTTGAGTATGCTTTGGATCTGTATTTGCTATAGCTTAGGGACTTAACCAGAATTTTCTAAATATTCAAGCAACACAAAACTTTACCAGCAGATGCAGTTCCCAACACCACTGGCTGAGTTTTCGCGACACTGACATCCCAAATACCATCCCTGTGGCCAACATATTCCTTTACCAGCTGACAGATTGCCCTTGATGTTGTAGTTTTAAAACTGGATACAATCTGAAATAGCAGAGACACCAACATTTTTTTTCCACATCGATCCAAGATTAGGTAATTATCTCACAAATAAAAATAGATATTAACTTTTCCATGATCCTTTAATATTCTGACAAATCACTACTGTCAAAAATTTGACATTTGATGGTAGGAAAGTGAGTTTGGATGCAAACATATCTCTTTTTTTTTTTCCTTTTTAATAGCAGCCATTTTACAGAATGCAAGGCAAACTATTCTGTGCTACAATAATGCAATCTTATTGGAATAATGAGTTGTACAATTACAGAGGGCATGTCTCATTCAGTCTGGGTAAGGATTTTAATGGGAAAAAAAAAAAAAAAAAGAAGAGCAAACCCAGCAAAAGACCTTAAAACTTTCCTTGCCTATTCCCAAACAAGTACATCTGGCAACTCAGATAGTCACTGTTAGCCAGTGTAATGTCTTTGAAAAAAAATGTACTTATTATATAACTCTAGTAAAACCAGAAACATTCCAATTTAAAACACTCATGGCTGCTTTGCTTTAAAAATGCATGAAGCTAATCAAATCAAACATTAACCTGAGAGCATATGCCTGTTTATTTGTGTAATGAAGCTTTTAAAAATATATGTCAAACTCATCTAAACATTTGATAATCATGCTCCCTCCAAGTTAAGCTATTAGGGGAAAAACAGAGAGGGCTCATTAAATCCAAATTACTATGTGCATAAGTAATATCAAACAAAAGGAAGAAAAGTGTAGTAAAACAATAAAACTACAAGTCACTACAGTGCAGGAGTGCCCAAAACACTCAGCATCTACAGAAAGGATGCAAATTGCAGAAATTCTACATTTTCAGATAAAGGAACTGCAATATTCAAAAAAAAAAGTTTCTCTTGCTGAACACTTCCAGAGACAATTGAAACCAAGAGTCATGAATGATGGCTTAAAAAAGGTGAGACCACCATTACAAATACCCTATTTTTACCCCACAAGTCTTGAAGCTCCTAACTCTTCTTTGAGAAAGACTACCTCAAAAGCTTTGTTAAACTTCAATTTATCAGCGTTTTCTTCTGCATGGAATTACAGGCAGGTATTTGACCAGTTAAATCAAAACCTTTAAATACATCAACACAAATCACATTAAGACTTATCTACAGCTTAGTAAAAGGTAGAAAGTTAATTAAGTCTACATTTCAGATACAATAAACTATGGTTAAATCCCATTAGTTTCTGGTATTAAAATAGAAGGTCTTAAGTATGTCATTAAAGCAAATTACTTCAAAAAAGATTTTTAAAGCTAAAAGAAAATCTCTAAGAGCATTCCAAACCCTGAGCATGTCAACTCTCCAATGATGAAATGATAATGCCCTATTTGAATTCCAAATTATCAGCTAATATGCATTTTGGTTTCACAGCAGCAGAAGGAACAGTCATTACAGATGCACTGAAAAGAAAATGGGCTAATAGTAAAGATTATTAGTTCAACCATACTGCAGAATTTCCTACATTTTGAACACCATCCTACAGATACAACTTTCACATTGAATACAGTCCTCAAATTAAATGGACTCATGTATGAGAAATGGAACAGCTGAATTAAGTACTAACAGGAAAGGACTAATACAGCACTCAGCTCAAACTCCAAACTTGGTATTTTCCAACTCAGCCTGTGCTTGCATTCTATTCTGTCTTTCTAATGTTGAGTCAAACCCCTATGCAGAAGTTTTTTAGGAGAAGCTATCCCCTACCCATCAACAAACACAGAACTGCTGGACAGTGGTTTCACTGATTATTTAATGGCAAGGATGTAAAAATCCTTTTGAGGTATTAGCAGTCTTTAATTAACACACAGAAGAGTTCAAAAACACTATCCAGCAGTAAACATCCTGATACAGATATTTACTCAACACACACTTTTTCCAAGCTCTTTTTTCCTTTCCTTTTTTGCTGCCCTTCACCTCACAGACCAGTAATTGGATAAACTAGACAGGGCCTGGGCTACTTCCTGCTTTGCTAAACACACATAAATAATGTCCCAAGCCAGGAAAGGAAGTATTTAAAGAACATGCAACTTGCTAAAAAGAGGTGTCTGTAGTGCAGAAAATTTCTGAAGTAACTTCTGTAGATCATCATACACAAATAAATGACCAAGCACATCCTGAGTGTGTTTCAGCTTTGCTTGTCCTCTTTCTTAAATTGATACAGTTTCATGTACTTCCTTCTACAAAAATATTTTTAAATAGGAAAACAATTGTTTACTATGTGAACAAGTGAAAACTGAACACAAATGAAACAATTGCATGGCAAGCAGAGTGAGGCACCCTGTAACAAAGTTTCTTACACAAACAGGCACATTAGAAATAAGCATGAAAACCTGATCAACCCAGGATCATTACACTGTGCCTGATGAACACAATGTCCTGTGAAGCAACTTTAGGCAGTGAGGTCAAAACTACATAGCCAAAAAAAAGTTTTTTTCCTTTTAACTACTGGGTGCATAAATACTTTTTTTTTAAGAGACTTTATCCTGATCTAGACAAATCAGAGATCCTGGTATTTAGTTTGGATGGAGCAAGTTACATCATTTCAGCTTATTTTAGGACTCTGCATAAACAATTGATGCTTCCCTGATGTTGTAACAACTTTCATAAGCCAGGCTTCATTAACAGCAGCTATTACATTTTGTTAATATCAAAACATGAATTTCATATAGTGATTCCTGCATCTAAAACCAACTGCAGTTAAATTATGGAATCTTGTCCATTAACAAAAAAATTACTTTTAACAGTACCAAATGTTAAATCTACCTCTTCAGGATTTGGACACTGGTGGAAAACCCTTGCTGCTAAAACCATGCTTTTCTGAAATGAGTTTTGCCAACTTGATATATAGCTAAGTGATGAAAAAATATTCCAGTATGGAAATTTCATATGAAGGGCTTGAATTAAGAATGTTTACTTCAGCATTTTCTCCAAGAGAATGAACAGATTGCTTTAGTATTTCTTACCTGTCCTACTATTTTTTACCAATATTAAAGCAGTCAAGGATCAGCCTTCTCATTAGATTAAGTAAATAGTGAAAGATTTTTTTCTGGAAAAAAAATTAATTCTATATGCACTGCCAATCTGAAAAATGTAGTTGTGTGCAATTACACAAAACAATTGGTTTGCAAGACTTAAGCCTCTCCTAATCTTCCACAGGCAAAAAAAAAAAAAAAAAAAAAAAACAACCAATGCAAAAAACCAGAGACCTAAGAAACCCCTGTATGGTAGTAGTATAAAGGCAGGGCTGAACAGAAAACTTGTGACCTCCTGCCCCAGGGAGTTTGGAACACAACCATTTTGGGAAACAGCATTGTTCATTCAATGCTCATAGAAGTACAGCCATAAAACTTTCAAAGCTGCTGAACTCTTAAAACTCTAAATGTGTTTTTCCTCAGACAGGGTATTGGGGAACTACATCCAGTCAGGGTACAGATGGAAAAATCATGGTTTGTTAGAAAGTTATGTTTGCTATAGTCTCTCTGTGGGTCAAGAGGCAATAGTTTACAGCTTTGACTCTTCTGTGTGGGGAGGAAGGAGAGGTCGAAATAAAGCACCTCTGTGAACTGCATTAAGATCTCAGAGAACACACTGGACAGAGATATTCTCAGTGTTGTAACTTCCTTCAGCTCCTGTCTACTCCCCAGTACATTCTGACTCCAAGTTGCAAAATACATCAGCACATGCAGATATCTGTTGGCTACCAATTGATACAAGAGATGAGCATAATGTTCAGGTATTAAATTCTTCATGCTCTACTACTCATGGCTGCTTTGCTGTGCATGCATATCAGCTCCCCAGGAGTCTCCTCCTCCTCATACTTCCCAGCTTCCCATGGTGAAGCTGTGAGGCCTGCCTGTCTTGCTCAGGAAAAAATAAAAGTGCTACACTGCAAGAAAGTAAAAGAAGACAAGGATTTAACACTTGCCTTAAAAGCCCAAAAAAAAAAAAAAAGAACCCCATAAACAAAACAAAAAAAACCCCACAAAACACAACACTAGAAACACTAGAGGGTATTAAATTCATAACTACATAGTAGGTGCACCAAAACTATACAACCCCTATTAATATCATGTTGTCACTATTAAAGTGGTCTCATTAAAAAATTTTCAAGTCATTAAGTCTTGAAAGAGGCACCTTTATACATCAAATTGGCAAGAATAAAAGTTTGAAAAACAACAAAATAAAAAGGAGACCACATAAACCACAGTAGCTTCAGTCTATTTCACCACCCTATTCTTACTCTCAAACTTTCATACTTAAGAGAAGGCATTTCCAAGACACCTACACCACATATCAGCCTGCATTACAGGTCACCACAGAGCTGACTATACAGCTGGTTCACATTCCAGATTCCACTGTGGTTTGCTCACATTTTATTTAACCTTAATAATGTATCATTAAATGACTCTGATATAGAGGAAAAAAGAGCAGCAGGTAAACTCTCTGCAAAAACTGAAAAAGAGGAGAGAGTGAGGGAAGCAAAAATACCAGGCTGATGCAGATGTACAAAATAAAAAGCATCAGAAAGGTTAACTGTGCCAGTACACCAAGCAAAAAAACATCACTAGCTACTGATGAGCAAGGCTTGCAACATAAAGGAAACAAATTGTTCTAGCCTCATAGCTAAAATTAAAAATTATTTTTAAAAGGAACATGTAATAGTACACATAGAGGCGCCTACTTAAATCCCCATTTCAACTGCAATACCCAAATCTTTATTCAGAAATCCACTAGCAAGTTCTCTATTTCCCTCAGAAACAGAATTATTTTTTTAGTCCTGTTTACAAAACATCACTCCCACATACACATGTGCACACTCTCTCCCCTCCAATATCCCTTCTTCAAAAAGGGTGAGCAATTATTGTAACAATATCATATGGTATGGTTGAAGTAATGGGTCATTGATGAATCCAAGATAAACATACTGCTCTTCAGGAGGCAGATTTATTTACAGACCAGTGCTACCCAGCTAAAAAAACCCCACAATTCGCAACTTAAAAGACAATCACATTAGTTTCACAAGTACACATGGAGTAGAGATTAATTTGTCTCATACCTTGCTAGTAGATGCCTTGTAAGTTGTCTTTAATTTCTGAGAAAGCTGACTGGTACTATGACTGGCTGTGGAGACAAATAAGTTCAAAGGAAGATATTTCAAATACAGCATTAGCTTGTTTGTATAAGTAACTGGTACTCATTCCCTTCAGTAACATTCTAAGTTTTGGTCAACAAAGTACAAAAAAGTGGACTCAAAAATACTGGTTTAGGATTCTTTGTGGCTGTCTTACCTTTTGTTTTCAGTTGTCCTTTGCTCAGTTCAGCACCATCGACTGTCTGTCCTTCACCTGCTAGGCGCTCATTCAGCGTATCAATCTCCCGACGCACTAACAAAGCCAGAAATTCACATTACTACAGAAACTGACTACCATTAATAACAGCACTAACACACTATTTAAGAGCTGTTATGGTCAGTAAGTAAGGTATTTTCTGCTAAGGAGAGGAAAGGAGATGAACTGGGATTTTATAAAAGCAGGTCTCACCAAGACATAAAGCAAGACTCATACTGAATTTTCCAGAGATCAACCTTGACCCAGATACCACGCAAAGTATTGGAGGCTTCTAATTATTCTTACTAATAAATGAGGCTATTCAATTTCTGTGAAATGCATGGCCCATCTGTATTCAGTTAAATCCAGCAGAAGACAGAAAACTTGTGGCATCATAAATATTTTAGCCACAGAATTAGCAAATCCTTTCTTAACAGAGGTTTCATTAACCACAAAATAGCATTCTTCCTGAATACTTGTCTACTACTAGAATCTCACAGGAAAGGTAGTGCTGCAAATGACTATTTTTTATACTTTGGAATTTATTTTTTTTTTAATTCTGTGTACAATAACTCCTGCACTAGTGTAGGAATTAGACCAAGAATAAAAAATATTAGACTGAGCACGAGAAGAGAAAAATTTAGAAATTGTCAGGGGGGTGAAAAGAGATCACAATCATAATTAGAGCTGTGAGGTGAAGAAAGATAAAGAAATGGAAATGGAAAAGAAGGAAAATAATCATACTCTGGAGGGTACAAATCCACCACTTGTTTTCTGACAAGTATTTCTGAAGGCTGGGGATGGAAATTCTACTTTTCTTGCTACCAACCAACTTCTCAGCAAGAGGCCAAGAGTTCAGTTGTGCAAATTGTTGCTAAAAAATGCGTACTTTTGATGACAGCCTTTAACCAAAACAATCACAGGTTTTAAGAGGAAAAAAAAAACAGAACATGTCAAAAAAAGCTGGCAGGAATTTTTTTTTTCCATAATGTGTCTGGTTTAAATGTGGGAACTGATTAGGTGTGGAAAAAAAATTGACTTGGACCCAAATCAGACATATTCCACAATTCAGAATCCAAGCCAATGTAACACAGCTTGAAATTCCAGCAAGGGAATTTTATAGACCTGTATTACTTAACTTTGGATCCTCTTACATCACCTTGGATCACTTACATTATCAGACAACTGCACTGTCATCAAACAAATATCTTTTTTAAGATAACACCTGGAATTTTTATCTGACTGCTTGACTTCAAAACTCCTGAACAGCTGCAGGTGCTGGTTATGCAATGTGTAAGTAGTTTGATCCAAAACCACCCCATTTTACACTTTTTCAAGCAAGTAGGTTTTCTAATTTTATTTACTAATATTACATCATTAAAATTAAGCCTGTAAATATAAAACATTGCCAAAAACTTCAAAGGCTGGATGGAGTTTCTGGAGATTAACATAACCAGAGCCTACAATGATAAGGAGACAGAACCTTCACTGGCTTCCACAGACATCAGTTCTCACTGCTTGCACCAAAGAGCTAATAAAGTGCTTTTTCTGAAAAGGTACAAACTCCATCTTTGGCTACAAGTTTAGAACAACTACTAAACTGCTCCCAGAAAAGCTACACTAATTATACTGCATTATCCAATGTAAACATTTTAATTATGAAATGAATATGAACAATTCATAAGTTGGAGAAAAAAATAGATACTCACATTCCAAATTTTCAAGATACAAGTTTTCAAACTCCCGCTCTATTTGCCCAAAAAGTTCAAGGAGTGTATTCCGGACAGCAGATGGTAACTTAGAATCCTAGGAGGCAAAATACTGGGGGGTTATATTTTTCTTTACATATATTTGATAAAATTACTCTTCAGTCTTGAACTGATTTTAACAGTTATCTCAATGTCCCAGCAAGGAGGCAAATTAAAACTACTGCTAGTGTAGAAACAAAACAAATAGCTCTGTGCATCATAGAGTTATTTATTTTATATATTCTTTCTCTTTCAAGGGATAGAATTCAAATCACCTATGGTATTTGTTTTGGTTTTCTCTACTAGAGAAAAATTATAAAATCAAGATGCATGTACAATTCATTTAAAAAAATAGAAAGTGAGAAAAAATTCTTTTTAATATCAATATGATTCCAGATCAAGAAGAAAGAATACCTTTGTTTGATAAAGTAATGCAAAAGTTGACTATGCAATGGGTTAGAAAGTTATGAACACAATGCATCTTATTACCAAAGCTTAAGACAAACTACAATTTTAAATGTATTTTTGACATTTACCTGCTTTTGTCATTAACCATAACTAAGTGTGAAGAAAACTACAACTTCTAATCCTTCCCTCTTCAGATATTACTCAAGCATTCTATTCTTCAGATGCTCATAGACCACAATATGTAAATTGGCTTGCTACATTTACTATTTACCCAGGTAGCCAGCTATAAACTTCTTTTTAAAAAAGCTTTCACTTCACTGAGTCACCTTCCGCCGCAGCCCCGGGAATTGTCTGCAGGCACAGCGGGAGAGGCCGCCCATGACCCTGGCTGGGCAGGTTATTTCCAAAGTTCAAACAGAGAGCAAGAGAAACCACTCATAGCCATGACACAGAGCACACCTGCTTTGTGCACAATTTCACCCAGGTTCACAGCTGGCTTAAGCTGTGGCACTGTGCTGGAAGAAGTGGGACCATGCTCCTTATGCCCCTCTACCTCATTCCTTTCTTCATCTGCCTCTCCCCTGATAGGGTGAGACCAGAAGCATAACAAATCCTAATTAAAACCAACTTGAAACAAAACTGATTAAACAAAAATACTAAATTAAGCACTATTAAGAAAAACACTGAAGTTAGAAGAATTATTTCAAATTCAATTACCCAATAATTTCACACAGCAAGGTTATGGAAGAAACTAACTTATTCTTAACAAACTAAAAAGGAGATGCAGAAAAGTTTTTCAAACCAATTCTCAAAGCTTGAAAGTATAAACAAATCTAAACTTGTAATGAAGTAAACAACATAGTAAAATGCATTCACTTCCTTTCCTCTGTTTAAAGTTGGCATTGCTTAAAACAGCTTATTAAAACAGCATGTAATAATGTCATCTCTTTATCTGCAAAAGTCCTTAGCTAGATGTCATGAGGTTTACAGCTCCACTGTGAAGGGGCACTAATACCCTCTCTCTACTTGATAGAATCTGCCACCCAGCTGCTCAAGGTCAACAAAATCCAACAAAATGATAGATAAAACATTTTAAACATCTATGCATTACAGCCTAATACACTTAGAGTTTGCTAAGAAATACTAAAACAGCTTAACATTTTGGTTTACTATGCAGGGGTGAAGCATATCTTGACCTCTCAGCTGCCCTTCACACCTTTCCTGAAGAAAGGCTGCAGTAGTTCCAAATGCATGAAGAGTTTTCTATCCAAATACTTGATTCTCCAACTTCTAGATGACTAGAAGCAACAATCTAGGCTCTGTTAATTCCCAGAAAACTAATGCTATGATTTACTTAAAAATAGATTTAATTAAAATAAAACAGTCACAACACTGAGAAAACACCAGGTTTTCCCTTCAGTGTTTCTGCAGACTTCAGTGTGAGGTTTCTCGTAGCCAAACTCCATTTGTATTTCAAACCAACTGTCTCATAAAAATCAAGCTTTGCATCATCTTTGCCAGTCCCACACTAACACTGTGTAGTCAATTTGACAATAAATACTTTTAAACTGATATTTGCTTATATTTGCCAGTACTGCTTCTGACAGAAGCCTTACCTACAGGTAATCTCAGAATTTTTAGGTGCAACACTTCAAGTCCAGATTGCACCCACTACTCTGACATGATTAAGAAAGCTACAGAAGCAGTGGCTGCTGCTCATTCCCTTAAGTTTAATCCCAGAATAGCACACCTTCATTTGAGCCAAACAAGAAAAAACCCACACAAACAAAAATCTGAGTTAGCTCACACTTCTGTCAGGCAGGCAGTATTTGTTTACTTTATGGAAAGGAATGCAGAACAGCATTCCAACTAATATTTTCCCTATCAGAGTCATCATAAGAAGTATTTGGTTATTCATACTTCTGGATTGCTGCTATTCCAAGAAAGCAGGAATCAATCTTGATTTTTTTTTTTTTTGCAGGTGGGAGGGAGAGGTTGCAGTGAATAAACAGGCTGTTTTATGGCTTGATCATTCACCTAAGAAAACACAGAAGCTGATAAACTCCACAGGTCTCAACACAACCTGAAACACTGTCAACATTCACATCAATGATCTCCAAAGGCAGTGAGCACTTACAAGCAACAAAATCTGCTGTTCTTGCAGCTTTACTGGACATACCTCAATATTTAAGTTTGTTTAGCTTCTCCCCACAGGAAAGACATAAAAAAGTGATGCAAGGTCCCAAGCAGCAGCACCTTACCTGCCCTTCCAACATGTCTCTCTGCAGCCCCGCCCGCTCCTGCTCGGAGCTGTTGGTTCTCCGGATGGAAAGGCTGTGTGATTTACGTTTCTGCTTTGCCTGGCGAGCAGATGCACAGCTTCCACTTTCTATTGGCATTACTTCAAAAAAACAGCTTCACAGAGGCTCCTATGATAAACTAAGGACAAGCATTATACATTACTAATTGCTTTGCCAAACAAACCACTATTTAAATATTTTTCTCAACGTGGAAGTATTTAGTTCTACGGAACTTTGGAGTTGTTTGGGTTGTCATTAAAAAGAAGAGATCCCTCTTACTTACAGCTGTTCTTCAAATAACATTAAGTTCAAAACCATATGCATATATGTAAATAGAATGGAATTGCTTCTGCATTATTTATTCATTACTTAACAAACCTCCACAAAAGGAAAATAAATTCCACTTCCTTGCTCATTTTGGAGAACACCAGCAGAGACAGCCCCAAAATGCTTCCAGGAAACAACTATTATGCGTACTATAGTTCACTGAAATGCATGCAAAATTAAAACCCAGCTGGAAAATGAAAGCAAACATGGTAATTCAGGGACACTGTCAGGTTAAAAATGTATTATTCAACTTTAAGCATTACTATACAAAATTTAACAGATGTCCTTGTTCAGATTTAGGCAGAAACTAATTTTCATTACAAAAGTTCTGAAAACTACCTTCCACCGTTTTTGGCAGCTCACGGTTTCACTTTCTTCAATAATGAAAATGCCCATGAATTTATGAGAGTAGTGAAAGTGTGCCTGACTTAACAGGCTGCTGGTGATGTGGTTCATTTCTGTCACCTTGATAAAGCCAAATATATGCATTTCAATATGCCTAAAACCACCTGACAGTATCACCAAACAGTATTACCATGTATGAGCCAATGCTTCCCCTGTTTAAGAAAAATCAAATTATGTCTGATTTGTTGCATAAATGTGGAGAATATATATGAAAAATCAAATTATGTTTGATTGCATAAATATGGAGAATATGTTCTTTACTGTCAAGATCTTATTTTTCAAACATTTAATTACTGGATTTTTTTAATTTAAACCCAACACTCAACAGAAATTAATTTTTGTTTCATGGAGTACCAGTTGTTAAATATTTCAAATGCTTCAGGATTGATTACCCAAAATTTTTCAATCATGCACAATAAGAACAAAATAAAAATTCATTCTCCAGCATAAATCATTTCTGAAACAACAATCAAAACTTAAAATAGGTGCAATAGTCTGCAGAGAAATAGGAGAGCAGAGTTGGCAAAGCTAACCAGGCAACTGAGCTTCCTTTTACACAAGTTGATCAGAGAAAATTTAAACCAAACCCAGGACCATTTCCAATTTAAGATCCGCCAACACGCTGGATCTCACGCTAGGAATGAGCACCGTGGCTATGAACAAGGCAGGCATTAACCACTTCAGGGCTTTGACACGGTGTTTGCAGCTTTTACCACATCATAAAGCCAAGGAAAGCATTACTAAAAACACAGTATGCACTGGAATAACATGAGCTTGAAATCTCCTTTGGGTTTTATATCACAAAATGAAAATGTATAAAGATACAGATATTAGTATCAAAAATGAGACTAGATTTAGTTAAGATTTTAATGCCCATCCATCCTTATTAAAAAACTTGGTATTTTAATTAGCTTTTGGAAGAACTGTGTTCCAGTAACCTGACACAAATTCCATAGTGAATCTAAAATAAAATTTAGGTTGCACCAGTGACCTGCACTGTACTAAACTTTATTTTTCATATCCTCTGGATTCCACAGAGTCCTCCCCTGCACCTAATCCCATCAGAGCTTTTTATGTGTGATTAATCAGTAGTAACTAAATAGCTATATTCACAAATTAAAGAAGAGACTAGAAAAAATTACCATTGGGTAGCTCCTTATTTGCCTAAATTCTGCTATTCACTGTGGCTAGACTCCTCTACAAAATTTTCTAAAAGTCCATCCTGTAAACAGTTACTGCCAATTTTCTGGGCTTCACTAAGTATCTTCCTGTTCATGGACATATGGTTCAAGAACGAGGAACAGGTTTTCCATGCTCATCACATTTCTATTTCTTTTCAAAAGAGAATCAAATCCCAAGCACACACATATATATTCTCCCCTCTTCCACCCTGCTTCCTAGCTCCCTTGGGAACCACTCTTTCAATGGCTTTCAGTTACCATATTCTGCAGTTTGGGATTACATTTTAAGGCCAGTGTGCACACAGGTAAATTTGTTAAGACAGTTTTATTCATACACATAGCTACATATAATCCCATAAATCTATTAACACCATTTCACTTAAGATCTGGGGGCAGAGGGGGGTAAAAAAAACCAAAAGACAATTTCTAATCCCTGCCAAAAGTGGCTCCTGGACTGTTAGACACAAGGATATTAATGTGGCTTATGCCTTACAAGCCATTGTTTTAAGTATGTCAGTTTCCACTTGCCCTTTCTGCCAAGCTACTTCATTTTGGAGGACATTACCCAGCAATATCCTTTTTTTGAGTAGAATGATTTGCATTGGAAAGGATCTTTAAAGGTCCTCTAGTCACACTGCTCTGCAATGGGCAGGGACATCTTTACCTGCATCAGGCTGCTCAGAGCCCTGTCCAACCTGACCTTGAATGCTTCCACAGGTGGGGCATCCATTGCCTCTCTGGCCAGCCTGTGCCCATGTTTCACCACCCTCATTGTAAAAAATTCTTCCTTCTATTTAATCTCAATCTACCCTCTTTTAGGTTAAAATCATTACCCCTTGTCATGTCACTATAGTCCCTGGCAATAAGTCTCTCTTTCTCCAAAGTTCCCTTCAAGTATTGAAAGACCCTGCTAAGGTGTCCCCAGAGAATCCTCTTGGGCTAAAAACCCCACCTCTCTCAGCTTTTATTTCACAGAAGAGGTTTGCAGCACACTGATAACCTTTGTGGCTCTTCTCTGGACTAGTTCTAACATGTCCACATCTCCTTGTGCCACTGCCTGTCATTAGCTGCATGCACACATTTCTGCCTGATGTCTGGTTTTTCATGCCCCAACACTCCCAGGTCCCTCTCTGCTGGACTGCTCTCAATTCAAATCAATCTCTGCACTGATTTTGGGGACTGCTCCAACCCAAGGTACAGGACCTTGCAGTTGGCCCTGCTGAACTTCATGAGGTTTGCATTCCTGAAGCCTATCACAGTCCCTCTGGGTGCTATCCCTTCCCTCAACGAATCAACTGCAGCATCAGTACATGCAGATTTGGCAGCTATACACTCTAGCACATGGAATTTAAAGGGACACAGTCATATGCATGAGATTACATCTTTGCAGAGTGAAATTCTCACATTCTCTACATAGAAGTTTCTACTTTGGCAGCTCGTGAGCAAAGGCAGCAGACTGGGTAGGAATCACTGTCACTGTCTCTGTTGACCTGCAGCCAGTGTCACTGCCAGGGACTGCCCTCTCCTCATGCAGCAGCATGACACACCACCCATGCACGTTCTGGAGAGGGCAAACATGCAGCTGTTCCCAGGCTCGGCAGGAGGGCGCACACAGCCACAGCAAAGCTGAAACCAAAGAGGCCACAAGCAGGCATGTGCATACAGAGGATGGCAAGGAGAAGTTAAGGGGAATAGCTTCACTGCCTTTATAGAATTGTTCTGAATCCCACCAAACAGCCTGACAAACTTTGAGTCATGGAGCGATAATCAACACATTTTTTTGAGAACAAGGATTTAAATTCAGTTTTAAAATAGTGACAGTGTCCCTTTAAATATTAACTTCACTTTGACAAATTTCAGAACTCTTCTGATTCCAATTGCAGCAGTAAGAAGCTGTAAGTTTTTCAAGAGTAGATTTCACAAAACAGATCCTTGGCAATATGATGCTAAAAAAAAATTAGGTGCTCATTTCTAGCAGTTACCTGATTCCCCTTATTATGTAAGGTTTTCAAACAATGAAAATTACCTGTCCAGAATATCAGTGTCATGTTACATATCCTATGAAAACCATATTAAATATTGATTAGTGAAACAGTCAGTAGTACACAAACCAGTCAAAGTCTTTCAATTCTTTGAAACTTTTGTAGTTAGAACACACCAGACAACAGGAAAGGGGGATGAAGGAAAACATAAACACAAGTCAAGGCTAGACACCAAATCCCAGTGAAACCAAGTAAGAAAAAAGTGCTTCAAAACAATCCATTATATATTATTAGCCAGATATAGTTAATCTTAACTTTTGAGTGTTCCAAGTGGGTTCTGAAAAGAAAAATTCACTAAGGTCACTTTCCTTCTACACAGTAACATCCCAAGTAGGATGGAGAAACCACCAAGAAGTATTGGAATCTTGCTTCCTGAATCAAATGAAGCTAAATTCACAGAAGCTAAAAATTAGCAACCAAGCATAATAAAGCCTGAACAAATGTACTTTCTGAGAAAAAAGGGAGAGGGGGAGAAAGAGGAAGCATATTGTATTACTAAACTATTTTCACTAAGGGTGGCAGTTCACAAGTGCTGTATTACTAAGAAGTGAGATTAAGAGACATACTGAGCTATTCTGCTCCGTCGTTTTGGAAAACACCCCATTTGCACAGACTTCACACAATGATCTGTCAAAGCCTCCAGAGAACCTTTCTAGCAACATAAATCCGCAGAAGTAGGGGAGTAAAAGGTGTCCCAGAGAACATCTAGACCACAGGTGGTTACTACTTGCTAAATGCAAAGACACTCCAGTATTTCAGATATGCTGTTTAATTAAACTCACAGGATATTTTACAGCGTGTTAAATTAAAGTTCCACCACCTACCTTTCTGTAACAGATGTACTCAGTCACAGGAAGTATTTCATCAGAGTAACAGTAAAGAGCAGATGTGTAACCAATTACTGTTTAAGTCAGCTACAACAGAGAAACAGCACCAACAAAGAGTGCACACACTGGCCTTTCCAGACTTAAAAACTCACTGCAGCAGTAACTAATCATACTTGCCTACTTCTGCTCTTGAACAGAGAACAAGGAGGCTGCTGAAAGGAAAGAATTCCTGGGATATGCATGTAGCTGAAGCCAGGGAGAAAAGCTGTGCTCTGCTGTCAGAGCACAGACAGAATGGCTACAGTATTGCATTTCCTTTTTTGTTCATTCAAGACAACACACAAGTCTGTAAAGGGAAAGCATCAGGAAGATTCAGCAACATCTTCCCCAACATCTCCCTGCTCCATTTTCTTTGGAATTTAGAAAAAGCAATAGTTACTATTTAAATGATGGTGTCAAATGAAAAAAAAAAAAAAAAACCATACAATTTTAGTGTATTTGTGTGTGCTTAAATCTCTTCATCTCATATCTCCCGTTTTCAAACATGGCTTAGAAGAAAATTTCTGTGTATACTATATAAAACACAAAGACATTTTACAATAGTAATTATTGTCTAGTGCAGCACTAAAACCTTACAATACAAAGATGCCCATTAATGTAGGGGAGTGTGTGGGTTTGGGGCTTTTTTTTCCACAAAGCAGGGAGGGAAAACAGAAAGAGAGAAGAATGATTACAGTTATTAGGTTCTTAATTACATGGAACTCAGTTTGACAGCATTATTCATGAGTTAAGGGAATTTAAGTATCAACATATGCCACTACACTCTTTTATTAATATGCAAAGAAATCAAATTTAAAGGAGTAAAACTTTCATTTTGAGGTCTTCAGTGAACAATTTGCTTCAGTGATGCTGTACATTCAAGTGCCATTAATTCAATGCAAGCTGCAAGACTAGAGCACACCTGAGAAAGATCAGGCTAAACAGACTGCTTTGTAAGACTAGCTGTTTTGCTAAAGGTAAATATTTAGGAAACAAAACCATTCCAGATCATCACAGATGATGCTAGAAACACTAATGAGTGTGCTCAAACCTTGTGAAATCCACTCAAGCATTACAACATTGATTTTTCTTTTTCTAAATTTAGTACAGCTTTCTTTCAAATGAAACGGGGTGTTCCTCGAAATGTAAAAGGGGAAAGCAGGCACCCACCACTGAAGGTGACAACCTCCTTTCAATAGAAAGCAGAGTAAAGAAGCTGCACCAATAAATTTGAAGTATGTTATACAGCTGAAATCAAGGATAAAAACTTTAACACATTAGTGAGTACCTGCTCTAAGCAAGCTTCTAACACCAACATCCAAATGTAAGCCAGCCCAGTTCTGCAGCTAGCAAGCTTTGATCTTGCTAATTCAACTATGTCAGCAAATGCTGCAGTCACACCAAAATGCAGGGCTGACCCAGCCTGCCATACAGTCTGCTAAAGCAAAAAATGTAACTCCCACCATACAAGCTTATATCATCCAATACTAAACAACAATAATTAGCAGATTTGGACCTTCTTTAATATAGTAGAAACCTTCCTGGGTCCACTAATAATCATCAGACCTGAAAGCTTCCTTTTGAGACCAGTGCCACCTGTGCTCACTGAGGGTGCTCACTGTTTGAACTAGTTTAAATGGTGCAAATACAATATAATCTTATGTTCAACACTAGTTAGTAACCTATCAGTATATATTGTACCCTCCTTTGTTTAGAGGTACTGATGAACTGGCTTTACTGAAGAATTCAACAGACAGCATCAGTTCCTGCTAAATTACTTACAGCTGGTTAACTCCTAAAATATGTTTGAAGGGTACTTTATTTCCTCAGCTGTTTCATAGACACTGCAGCTCCCATTTCTGTATTAGCAAATCCCTAACAGCCTAGGAGCAGCTTCCATGCAGGCACAGGGATGCAAATACAGGACCTGAGGGTGAGGAATCCTAAGGAAGTTCAAGAGCAAAGGCAATTTAACCAGGTGCTTGTTCAAGGAGGTACTGCACCACACTCAGAAGCCAGACTCTTATTCTGCTAGTCCCTAAACAAATAATATTTGTGTACTTGTTATGGATGTATTAATTGCTATTATGGTCTTATTCAAGCACAGTGGCCTCTAGTATCACTGCTCTTCATCTGGGAATATATAGTAAACTAAAATCTTTTCATTCTTAAGACTTGAACAAAAGCAAGTAATTTTGACTCTAACTGTAATATATCTAGCAAGCTCTTCAGAAGCACCAATAAATAATCTCTGTACAGCACATTCTTGAAGCATTACCTCATGTAGTCCAGCACAGAGAACTACAGAACCTACCAACAGACCATGTAAGAGCACTGTGAGCACTCAGCCTACCATCTTGAACAGCAAGCCTAAAAATAGTCAGTACATATTGCTTGCAGATGAGAAAATACAAATCCTGATTCCTGTCCATTCCTCAGATGTCATTCACAAAGCAGTAACCAACTCTCCCCCACAGGGCTTTGAATGGTTGGCCTCCAAATAAAGCCCCTCACCCTGGCTTTCACCTCACAAGACAACATACTAGTCTTAGCTCCAAGACTTAAAATTCCATGACATAAAATGATCCTAATCTCATCTCAAACTTATAGAATGCAATACCACTTAATTCCTCCTTGCTTGGCACATACTAGTTCTGGCTTGCAATTTCAGGATTTCATAGACCTTCTCATCAGACATTATCACCACACTCACAATATTTGTCTTGTGACTGTACCAACAAACTTAAGCACTTCAGTCCATACTAAAGACTGCATGCTTTAAACAAGTCCTGAATCAAAGAAATAGATGGTGGAAGGGCCTGTCTATATTAAATAGGCAGTCTCATCTTAAAATCTTTAGATAAACATGATAAATCTAGTTGAGGGACAAACATACACATAAACAACTGGCATTAAAAAGACAATCAACATTACAGTTGGCCTTAAATGCTAATGTTTGGTGCCAGCACCTTTTCTTAAAATAATTGCCCAAGTCCACAACACAAAGTGACATCTAAAGTTACTACAAGACACATTAGAGCTGACATCATACGCAAAGATTATCTAATCTAAACTACTCATTAGAAAACATACTTGTGGGTTCTTGGGGTTACCAGCTCTCTTTCAAAATCATCAAGAAATGCCAACAGCAAACTAGCTTGGGAAGCAGTTTCAGAAATTTGCTCAAGGAAAATGATGCAGCTGTAATGTTGTAAAATGGGTGCCTGAACAACAGACGTTTGTATCATGTCAAGGTGTACTCAATGACACTGAATCACTTCCAAGAAGCTGTTCCACCAGTTCCTTACGTAAACCTTCCATGGCATTACTGTTATAGAAAGCCCACTTTAACAGCAATAACAAAATAAATTTGACAAGCTGGACAAGAAAGATAAAAACAGACATAGAAGTTTCTCTTTCCTCACAAGCATCATGATGTCCTTGAGCCACAGATCAACACAACTTGAAAGAAGTTTTCCTTGTCTTTGCATAAGGAATGGAACCTAACATCCACTCAACCCCTGAATACATTAAGCATATCTGTTGTTCCCTCGAACTTATTTTCATGGGGTTTTAGCTCAGAAAAGGAGAGAACTACTGAAGATGGCTCTTTGCAGACAACTTTTATCCATCTTGGACACTCCCATGCCATCCTCCCACTGCTGAAGGCCAGATTCACCCCATGCCACCACAAACTGTGCTCCCCTCATCATTTAGCTGTGCCCCACTTCAGAAATTTGGGGGTTCCATGTTTACTCCATTTGTACAGGTGTCAGAGGATCTGAACTCCACCTGTAAACTACTGCGGCTCTAGGCCTGGCCTGCCCTCAGGATAGGCAGCAGCACACGAACAAAGTTAGCGAGAGGAGTCTCCTCACAGCACCCTCGGCTTCCCCACCGCAGACCTGGAACCATCCCTACAGCCTGGGGCTGGAAGCGCTCAAAAACCGCCACACACCAGAAGAGGAAGGACAGCTTATTTTCGCTTATTTCGGGTTTTTATAGGAGAACGTGCAAGTCATTTCACGCGGAAATCAAGCAGAATAGGACGGGCGGGGAGGGGGTGCCCGGGCAGGAGCCCCGGTTTGCGCCGCGGGCCTGGGCGGCGGCGGCGGCACGGCGCAGGTAGCGCAGCCATGGTGCCACCGCCGCTGCCCCGGAGCCCGCCCGGACCCCCGCAGCCCTCAGCCCCTCGGGCGGCCGCGAACATGGCGGAGGGTCCGCGCCCCGCTGCCCCCGCACTCACCTGTCAGCCACAGCCGCGGCGGCGGGCGGGGAGGGGCAGGGCCGCAGGCGGCGCGGAGAAAGAGGAGGGGAAGGATGAGGACAACGAGGAGGAGAAGGCGGGAGGGGCAGCAGCGGAGGCAGCAGCAGCAGCGGCGATGATCGCGGCGCCGCTCGGGCGGGACGCGCCTCCCCGGTGCCGAGCCCTCGCGGCGACATCCGGCGGAAGCGGCGCGGCCCCCGCTCCGAGCCGCGATGGCGACGGGCTGGCACCGGGACAGCCTCCCGCCCGGTACAGCCCGCGGGCTCGGGAACGCCCCGGCCTCAGGGAGAGCCTCCCGCCGGCACTGCCCGCGGGCTCGGCAACAGGGAAAGCCACCCGCCCGGTACTGCCCGGGGGCTCGGCAACAGGGACAGCCTTCAGCCCGGTACTGCCCGGGGGCTCGGCCTCAGGGAGAGCCTCCCGCCGGCACTGCCCGCGGGCTCGGCAACAGGGACAGCCTTCAGCCCGACGCTGCCCGCGGGCTCGGCAGTGCCCCGGCCTCAGGAAGAGCCCCGCGGGCTCGGCAGTGCCCCGGCCTCAGGGAGAGCCTCCTGCCCGGCACTGCCCGCGGGCTCGGCAGTGCCCCGGCCGCAGGGAGAGCCCCGCGGGCTCGGCAGGGCCGGGCCGGGCAAGAGCTGCCCCGGCACCCCCGCACTCCCCGGGGTCACGCAGTGCCGGAGGTTAAACAGCGGGGTGTGTGCCGTGCCGAGCGCTGCCCCCGGGGTAACGCTGGGCTCCCGTGCCGTTACTGGTACCGAATTGAAACTGCTGCTGCTTTGGTTAGGCAGTTACCTCCACTAACACTGCATCAGGTGGGCTGACAAAGGAGATGAAACTTTGCTGGAATTCCGTATTTTGTTAATACAGAAGGGCCGGGAGATTACCGAATGTGGAGTGTTTCCGCTGTGTCTGCAGACGGAGTGACAGGGGCAGTGCATCAAAGCTAACCACGACGTTCTGCAAGCAGGCTGTTCACTCTGAAGCCTACAAGGCGTAATTGAAATGCGATTAATTCCTCTGCTGATTAGCACTTGGAATAAACCTCCACCTAAAATTCTTATTCATTGTAGCAGATAGTGAAAGTCAAAAGAGGCCTTCGCCTAATTATTTTCTCTCTTCCGGCAGATTATCTTAACTGCCTTAGAAGAGGTCTGTAAAAAGGCCAGAAGAACATGTGCCAGTGAGAGCTGGAAATATTACATTTTCTTTTAATGTGCTTCCCAACTACAAATCTGCCTGCAGTTCTCATTTGTCTTTTTTCTTTTCTACTCACTTCTGTGCAATCATGTCTTAAAGCTGTATTAAACAGCAACAAAAATAGTGGTTTACCTATTTACTAGCATATTTCTCATTATTGGAGGTCATTCTCCAAAATCACCAGCCTAACTGGTTGAGAACATCCTGTAATTTTAGCCTATTCCCTTCCTCAAAGCCACTAAAAGGGAGCAAACTAAATAGCTAAATGGCTTCAAGCAGTGGAAAAGAGGGGAGACTGCACAGGCAAAAGGAGAGGGACAAGAGATGGAACAGAGGTGCCCAGGAGGAAGCTGAACACAACCTGACCAAATGCCCCAGTTAGATGCTTTGAATTCTCTTTAGAGTTGGTGCAGTTGTGGGTGGCTCAGCCATCTTAGGCAAGTGAATTCAAGTTCTCAGCTGTTCAGTTTCTAACTAGACATTTTTAAGCCTCATAATCCCTACCAAAATTACTTTACACTAATATAACTGTACTGTACTGTAATAATTTTAGCTATATGTATGAAGGAAAAAAATGTCCAGTACAAAGATCCACATTAGAGATTTCCTGGGGAGAACACCTGGCAGCTTTTTTCTCCTCTGGAGTAGCACACTCCCCAGGGGCAGAGTGCATTACAGAGATGAACATTTTTTCACCTGAAGAAATGCAAAATACTGAAATGAGGAAAAATGGGCTTAAACAACTTTTTCCTTGGTACAGGGTGCCTCACCTGAAAATGAACAGGCCCTGTATGGATGCAGTTGCTTTTTCATGAGAAGAGAATGACAAGTGGCCTGTTGTCACTCTAGCTCTGCTGCTGGTTTGGTTTTGTCACAGCACTGCAAGAGTAGCAGGCGCTGTGTAATGTGTAGGAGCAAGTACAGAACAAAAGAATGCTTTTCACAAACTACCTGATACAAAAGAAGAGACATAAATAGCAATACAGGAGCCTAGGGAAACAGGGCAGTATTAGTCAGCACCTTTTCAATAGTTTTTTCATTAAGAATACAGTAAATAGAGTGGAAAAAGGTTGTCCTGGACAAATCTACTTCTGCACCCATGGCTGGACTAGAAAAGACAAAATAGGAAGCTTGGGAAATCAGTAACACAACAGAGCAATAGCTGAACCTCCCAAATTAGCATTTTTCAAACCTGTAAATATAGCAGGAAAAGGCAAAGCCTTCTGTCCAGAGCTCAAATGAAAAGAAATAAAAACAAAACCAAACCAACCAAACAAAAAAATTTAAGGAAGAAAAGGACTCAAGGGTTATTTCTTGATTCATATAGGAAACCTTCTAATAACTCCTTCCTAGAAGAGTGGTTTCCTATACCATTATTCACTCACCTTATGCTGTATAAAAACATTTGGAAGCCATCCATCACAGCACTCTTTCCATCAGCTTGAGATAACAGAACAAATGCAAATACAACATCCTACTTAGATATTTAGCATATATGTATTACATTCTTACTACAAAGACATCTGTCTTCTCTGAAGCAAGCTGAAGCCAACCCACTTCCCTGAAAGAGGCCTTTTAAGAAGAGTCAAGGGAACAGGAGATTAGCTAAGACTGGGAAGAATTTACCTCTCATTTTAGATAAAACCCAGGTTGTTTCTCACTAAGCACATGAGTGGATCATTTAGACAAATATTTTCTGAAGAGCTACAGCTCCAGGCAGGAAAGGACTCACAAGATAAATTCTCTAGGGAGACCAGGCACAAGGATAGCTCTGTAGCTGAGAAGGGTGAAGTGGAAGTCTTAAATATCAGAGCAAGTTAACAGGAAGGTGAAAAAGAACAAGTTTGGATGTGAAGGGGGGGAAAGAAGCCCATTAATTTTCCTTGACAAATCTGAAAACTGAGGACAAACATTTTTCAGGAGTTTATGCATTCTAGGCTGGGGTCAAATCCCAGGTTTGTTCAGCATTTATTTCATCTTGTAGCTTGTGATCATCTTGTTTAACTTGCTGAAGAATTAAAAGATTTTTCTTCTGTTTGGTGGGGATTGAACTTCCCTTTCTCTTAGTAGGCACCAAAACTATGTCAGGGGTTTGCAACTGGTTGGATTTTCCGGTGAATGAAAGACTTTCCACTTGTTACAGGAAACTGTCTTTCCTTGTTAGCTGAATGTTTGAAAACAGTCAGCAAACTTCAGGAGATGCAAAAATTAAGTCTCAAAAGCATTTGTATGTCACTTCAGGCATTCTGTTTATGCAGAATGGTGGACTAGAAGTTCTGAGGTTATAGTAGAGGAAATGTATTGTACTTGAATTTCTGTATAGAGGCTTTGCCCCAGGAGGTCCCGGTTGCCCTCGATGGGCTGCAGCTGTGATGTCCCTAATTGGGCTGCAGCTGTGACCAATGAAGATGACTGGGATAAAAGGGGATGGGTTAGCCAGTCAGGGAGAGCCTTGGAGGAGCTCTGATGTATGGACTTTACAAATCTGATAGCAACAACAGTATGGGACTCTAGAAATAGAACAACAACATGAGGTTACAGTGAAGTGCCTACCATTACTAAAATTAGCATGCTTTATTTTCAACACAGAGAGCTTTGAAGGTGAAGAGCAAGTCTGGAGGGGAGCAAAAGGAAAGATGATACAGGGGACATAAAACCTGGTATCTAGTTAAAGGCTTGGGAAGTCTCTTCCTTGTTTGTTTTGTGAAAATGGTTTGTTTTGTCTCGGTCATCCTTTGTCCCTGCTTCTTTGCCTCTCGTTATCCACCAGGACTTGTTGCCACTTGTTGCTGCTCACCAGCATTGACTCAGGTGAAGTGCTTTGTTTGTCTGTGCAAGACAGGAACTGTAATTGCTTCTGACTCTCAGGTTCTGAAGTGCCTGTATAGAAATTTTCAGTAGTTATTGCTAGGAAGAAAAGCCTCTTTTCTCTATCATCCATGAACACATTTTTCCTGGTTTCCCTCTGCTGTGCAGCCTGAAGGTCACTGTGTACACCTGCTAATGTCCCATGCCAGCTGTGCCCCAGGCACAGACACATCTCTGCCTCCCAGGGGAGTAGTTTCTACTCTAAAAGAGCTTCACTCACAGGAGAGCTGCTTGTTAACTCTGTTGGCATCATATGAAATGCTGGTTTCTATGTCCATCTCAGTAGTTTGTTTTTTTGATAGATCTGTGTAGCTTGTTTTGTTACTTTAGGAAAATGATAGAAGAAAAAATTACAGTTTTCTTTGTTTTTTTTTAATCTGGAACAATGAAACAAGCAAGTCATTCATGTGGTGAAGGATCTTCTTGGTATATCTGTGAAGATATACCAGTATATCTCAGTCTCCAATTACTGTTCTCTTGTGCCAGTGACTCAGCAATAAGTAATCTGTAAAGTAATGAAAAGTAAACTCAGTAAAAAGCAATCTGTGTACATTTCTGTCCTTTCTGAGAGTACATATTTATTATCAACAGTCCTGTGATAACATTAAACTTGTAGCTTATTAATGAATAACACAATATTAACATTAGTAGATAATGTTATGGTTTTTGTAGTTAAAAGGCTATGTATCAGCCAACACATTGTTACAGCTTTTTTGTTGGGTTTTTTTTTTTTTTTTTTTACTTTTGATGTTCTGCTGGTTTCAGGTGGCTTTCACTCAAATCACCTCCACTTTTCTTTCTTTCAGCAAGCTCTGCATAGGGGAATGCTGTAAGATAACCCACCCCATCCCCCTCCATTGAAAAATATTATCTGTCCATTTGAACATTTGTGCTGTTAATGATATCTCTCAGTGACAGGCAATCTGTCCTGTTCACAGGAAAAATCAAGCAAACCAGACTGAAATGCTGGAACTTGAGCTGAGAGGGAATCAGAGCAAGCCATGCCCCCAAGACATGTTAAATGTCATTTCTAGGCTTTTTATGGCATCCAGTCATAAA